TTAATGACAACGTGAATCATGCTACCAAGCTTTACAGACCTTTGTTGTCATGGAAATAGCATAAACACATGCTAGCTTACAGCAAGCTACTGGAACTTGGTCCCTAAATATGATGTTACAGTTATAAACCTCTCATGGTTTCATTATGTTTTGCCACACAAAACACTTGGTTATGTTTAGGAACAAACATTTATTGGTTCAGTTTAGGCACAAAAGCTCTTGACAACACAAGCCACACACTGGACTCGACACACTGAGGGAAAGTCCTGTGTTGTGTGTACCTAGCCATCCACCCCTTCCTAACATGGACTTTGTGCCTCTATATACATACTCCTTTCTGCATGTCATAATAGGGTCGCTATGTTGCCAAACTATAACATGTAACATTTGGTTGCAGTAACCTGCTGGCACACACTACGAGTACTGTCATGTTTTTTACAGGAGGGCAGTCTCTGCTGAAGTCCATTACAGTGGATAGTTAAGTTGATTTGAGCATCTGATTATAGGAACGCCAGTTTTGGTGTAGCCTACAGTGACAACATGACGTCATTGCTATGTATAAATAGAGAAGATCTTATTTTAGGACACGTAGTTTAACTTTAACTCGATAAAAATAGAAGTGGTAACTAGATGGTAAAAATCTTCTGTGTTTATTTGTATATGTTTTGAGTAATGCTGTAGTCACAGGCACCAAGGCTTTTATTTTCAGGCAACCATGTAAACATCACTTAGGAACGTTGCTGATTCCTCTAACAGATATTACTCATCCAGCAAAAGTGAACTGAGTCTGCTTCCTCATAATCAGCTCTCAGCTTCACATTCACTCAGGCCATCCACTATAACTGCCTTGTGCTGCTGGGACTTGAAAACCTTGTTCAAAAGCACTTTAAGAGCAACTGTTGAAGAAGAGGAGAATTTAAAGCAACATTCCTGTCTCATGTTTGCTCCTCTAAACACTGGTGGACAGGAATCTGTTACCTTCAGTGACTGAGGTCTTATGATTCATAATCAGTGCATAAAAACCCAAGATCACTTAGACATGTGATAAACCAGTAACATTACTCTGTTTGTTTCTGCTGCAGTGTCACTCCACAGACTCTTGCTGTACACTCTTACATACTGTACTTTACTTCACTCTGAATATCTTTGCATTTTGATTAAAGTCAGTGACAAACAGTTGAGGTGTCCTACACAGAATACGCTAGCATGTGAAATAGTCAATAAAAAACATAGACCCAGCAACATGCACAGCTTTGTCATTGTTGTTATCTGGCATTTCTATTGTAATGGTAAAAACAAAACTTTTTAGCCTGACTGCAACTGTGGGTTTCTAATCAGCTACCAGACACAGTTTGCAAATTAAGAACTGGCCATTATCTGCTGTGCAAAGAATTTTAGGACAGCTAATTAAAAGTGAGTGACTATTTTTTGGCAAGCTTTCCAAATGCGGGATTTTAAACTGTGTGTTGGATGAAAAGCAGCAATGGTGTGTTTTCTCTGCTTAATCCCTGACATTGTCTGTGCACCAAAAGAAATGACATTGTGGCCCATGTATGCAGTATAAATATATGCAAAATTTGAACCTAAAGATTCTTAATCTTAATCAGTAAAAGCATGCATATAAAATAATGTTTAGAAATATATGATCATCTATACTGTGTTGCTTCCACATGTTGTAAGATGCACATTTCTGCACCATGTGATCACACAAACAGTGTGCAGTGCATGTGTTAACAATTACGCACATACACAAGGCCTGACCGCTACAGAGAAATGCTGTTTATCTGTAGGCTGTTTATGCTCATTATTTTGTTGCTATGGATTCATCCTGTCACAGACCAGCATCTCACATGTATCACCACCAACACCAGTCACTGCTTCACAGCGACTGCACTGTCATATGACTCATGCTATGTTTGCATCAGTATCAGGATGACCTCAACTACCACGAACAAGAAATGTACAGTAATTAGATTTGATGACATTAGTGCAGAGATGCTAAATGCAGAAGGAAGCAGAAATGTTATTTATTAACAGCAGAACAAATCTGTGTTACTTTAAAAATATTAGCTGTGTTCTAGAGGTGACACTAGTGTAGAAAGGTTAACAGCCTGTGTTGATGTTTAGGCCATAGCATATGAATTGATATAGCAAATAAATATGAAGCAAAATAAAACCAGGCATTAATGTCCCTGAATTACAATATAGCTAACGTGATCTGAGTCCCACTTCCATGCTACATGTGAATTCTAAGCACTGCTAGAATTAAGTATACTAAAAAATAGTATATGTACAAAATCTAAAACATATAGTAGTAATGAAATCGGTCCCAGCTGCTTAAGTGATTGCTTCATGTCCACTATCACTCAACATACGGTAGCTAAAGGGTTGCCATTATGCCCTATGTAAACATTATGCCTCTATCTAATAATATATGCTAACATGTTAGCATTATGCCTACCAAATTAGGCTGTGTTCAGACTGAGTTTGAAAGTTGTAAGAAAATAAATAAAATAAAATAAAATGCAGCCCTCCCCATTCATTCCTATGGGGGACTGTGTTCACTGCAGCCAGCACCAGCACTGCAGGGGGCTCTGGCAAAATGACGCAGCCTCGTGCAGCAGCAAAAAAAGTTGGATCTTGTTGAACTTTTGCCACCTCAGACTGGGACATTATCTCTCAAAGGCATTGCATTGACCAGTAACGTATGTATGGGGGGATGATTGGAATGTGGATGCCCACAGGAATGAGCATTCATTACTATTCACTCTCAAATTTGGGCTACAGTTAAAAACGTACCATAACGGCATGCCATGCGTTTTTGTTAGTTAGCGTACTGGATATTAAACAGTGTTTTTTATTTATCAGTGCTGACACTGGTGGTAGAATTTGATGCAACATAGAGTTGGCTACATTAGCAGCATGGCTAACCAAAACACAACAAAAACCGGCAGGCTGAAAACATGAATGAAGCCACTCACTTTGACTCATCACAACATGGCCCTATCATGCCTGCAACACCACCCCCCAACCAGTGCAGCCCCTTGCGTTTTACTGCACTCAGTCTGAATGTCCACTTACACAGCACATGCTAATATGGAAGCCTACGAGTGTTAAATTTATGAGCTGCCAACATGCCAGGGGAGACTGAGGTTTTTGGCATATATTTTATCAACACTCAGTAGTTAAATTAATGCACAGACCAGTTCCCCACACCTGTTGCATATACAGAGAAGTATTTAATATTGAAGGTACATCGAGTATGCGCTTTGATGTAAATACTCTATTGTCCCTCTACACTGCCTAAAGGTCAACAATGAATCACTGATGCTGTAGAGAAGCATGACTCTTCCCTACCTATCCAGTGTGTCACGAGAGAGGTCCCGTCCATGTGCTCTCTGTCCCCGAACCCTGTACACTCATGATAAAATGTGATACTGCTGAGTGCTTCAAATGTGCCCACAGCAGAGATCTCAACAAAAGAGACTCCGTTGTGGAGGCGCTCGACCAGGCTGATGGGTCAAACAATGGCGCTCTGTTCCAAATATGTTGTTTGTCACATTGACTGCCTTTAACTCGTCAATGATGCTGTTGTTCCATTTAACTTTATCCCACATCTTATGCAACTAGTTATGTAGTTTTACTCACATCTACTGTGTCTGTGAGCTTAATAATGTGTTTAACAAATAAAAGCCTAATACCTTTACAGACTGGATCCTCTGTGTTTTAAAGTCATTGCATATTGAAATGAAATGTGAAATGAATGGACAGGACTTTTTACAAATGAAGTTTTTATTCTAACGTCATAATAAAGCACAAAGCAGATCACATAAATCTCTTCATATGATCAACATGTAGGCCTATTACCTCTGATTAATATGAATGCTTCTTTAATCCTACAGAGAAGGGAAGTGGAGAAGCACTGATCACAGCAGAGCACTGGCACTCTTCCAGAAATACATTTCTGGAGAAGTGCCAGTGTATATTTATAACATGTCATTCAAGAGCAGGGAGATATACTGGGGAACCTATACTAGAAACTCTCACTGTGCACCACTGGTGGCCCGCGCTTTTTTTTCTCGCCTCTCTTCATTCGTGCTTCAAGTGGAAACGAGTAAGCCAGCAATGTGGTTTCATGATGGTGATCGGAAATAGTAAACTGGCTTTGCTATGAGAGAACTAAGCTGTTTTTTGAGGAAGACAGCCACAGGTGATTGAGATTATATAACACACTCACCTCATACAAGCACACACACACACAAATATGCATCATCTTCAGCAGAAGAAAACCTGTCCCTCATGACATGCCTCAAGCTGCTGCCACTACAATAACCTGCACAATATTTTGTGAATAATCATCTTTATGCAACTCTATTATAGCTTGATAGCTTATTAAACTGTCTATATGGTCACTAGGAGACTCATAATAATCCTCATGGATCTCTGGACAGCTATGAAAACAAGAAGTCTATAAGTTTTATGTCATAGAGCAAAGAAATTGATCAGATCCTCGACAACCCCCCAGAGTTTGCAGGCAACTCGGAATATTGTCTCCAGAATTTGCGCATTACCAACAGGAGAAATGCTGAACCAGTCTGAGTCTTTCATTACAGCCACCCTGTCTTCATATTAAAGGCTTAAGCCACCAAAAGAAGGGATGTCAGCAGTGTAATTGATTGTGATTTAGAAACTGAAACATAGCTTCACAGTGGCTGCCAACAGCGAGCGCTTCTCCGGAGCAACGCAGGACAAGCTGAAACCCACATTTGAATCTGTACAAACTCAACTTCCTCGTTTTAGTAAGAGAGGAGTCTGGATTATATAGTGCTCTAAAAATAGCGCTGATTTAGCCCAATGGGAGATGGAGGCGCTTCGGACCACGGACCAATCACAGCAGACAGGATGAGTCGGCTCTGGCTCATCACTGGCCAGAAGTGGCCAGGTGGGCGGGTCCTATGCTCCCGTGAGCCCATTGGTAGACGAGCCGAAACGTAACGTAATCACATGGGGGTGGGTATGTGTGTAATTTTGAATCGGGGGGAAGTTTACAGTTCGCTGACGGACTTTTGGAGAGTTCAGTGTTTTGCGCTCTCTGTGCGTCACACGCTGAAAACCTCCACTGGAAGCGCACGACTCTCGACTATTATACATGCAAATACAGCCAGACTCCAGCTTCTGTCTGAACGCAGCGGGCTTAGTTTTCTCTACAAGCTTGAAATCGTTTCTACTTGTGGCTACATCTTAGGAGTGCAATGGATGTCATCCCTATGTGTAGCATCTTCCAGGAGCTCCAAATTGTGCACGACACGGGATACTTTTCAGCTTTACCATCTCTGGAGGAGTACTGGCAGCAGGTAACAATCTGACCACGCTATGCAAATACGCAGCCTGACAGATCACCTCACGTCTGTGTGGTTGTTTTACAGGAGCCTAAGGAATGTGCGTAACTCGCTCTCCATTGACAGCGGTGTATCGACGTACAAATGTCAAAGTTGTTTATGAAGCCCCGGGTCTTTTTTTAATGCAACAGTTAAGATCAATTTCCCTGTAAAACTCAGATTGCGAGCATTTATAGAGGAAGTGATGTAAGTTCCCTTAATGACAGATCTCTGTGACATCTCATTGAGCCCTAATAATGTTTCTGCTCCAAACGAGCTGCTTTTTAAGATACGCTGTTACACTCTATGGGTTTATTTTCATTTCCTAAAATATGACCATAATATTCTTATGAGAATTTAGAAGTAACTTGTAATTTTACTGCGTGTGTTTGGTGTCATAGTATATTTCTAGTTGCTTTTTCTCGTCAGCTGAAAATATCTTTGCAGGTTTTAGGCATGTGGGTTTGTGATTAAATAAAAAAATGTGTTGCAGATTTAGCGACTGAACCGTGCGTCTCTGCGCGTCTCTCTCTCTCTCTCTCACGAACACACACACACACCCTCCCTCTCTCTCTCTCTTCCCTGCTCTTGCTCTGTCACAAACACACACACGCGCGCGCGCGCGCGCGCGCGATAGAGTGACCGACTGACAGAAAGAGACTGATTTCTGTTCCAATTTGGCTCGACCAGGCAGTCTCTGGATGACAGAACAGTGTACAGCTAACGACGGGAGGGCGAAAGGCGCTTGTTGTTCGGGTTGGGAAATTAAATAAATTGGCAGCAGACTTCAGACTTCTTCTGTCTCTCCGTCTATCAGATCTCCTCGGGCTTCGGGCCAACTCGCCCTCCCAGGCATTTAAAGCTCGCCTGGGATTTATCCAGCTCTGCTGACGAGAAACATTTGCCTTGAATTCGTTCTCCCTCACTCCCAAGTTACTATGATGCTCCTGCAACATTCCTATTATAGAAATAATATGCATCTGTGACGTGGTAGTGCCCTTTTCATACCAAATAATCTAATATGATATTAATAAAGTCCAGCTCCATCTAATGTTTTATGGACATGATAGTCCATTGTGTTTTACTGTCAGATGTGAATAATATGCACACTTCTTCTGTTATTTAAATGTTGTTTGTATAAAAATAATCAGATTTGATTCTGCACATTTCTTTTTTTTCTAAGTCTCCAGTGATGTAGCTCTTTTGGGCACATGCTCTATGTTGCATATAACTCTGAGCAGTGAGCAGCCAAAAGGGATATCCCTTTCACTCATTTTGAATTCTTTCTAGAGACTCAAAGAGGTTCATAAACCCCTCTGGGATTTCACTAGAAAACAAGTTTAAGAAAAGTTAAAAGAAGAGTATTTATCTTGTGTTTCTTTAGACCCAGATCCCAAGCTGCTGATACTGTTGGTTTATTCGAGTCTGTTATATGGCTGTAAATTGGAATCTGCTTCATTAGGAAACTGCACAGACCTGTTAGCAGCCTTCATATCTGGCCTGTGCTCTGTGACTCAGTGACTGCAGCGGGTTGAGGAAGTGCTCTGTCACTTCCTTTTCTAAGAAAATAAACCCACAGTCCACATCGGCTCTTGCAGTATTCATGCCAGGCTTTTTATGGACCCCTGTGAACCAGACCTCCCTCCTCGCTGTCCCTGGTGTGCTATGTTATTTCTAGCGATGCCTCTGAATGCATTATTAAATCCACATTATGTTGAATAATTAAAGCATTTAAAAGATCTACAAGCACTTCCCTAACCCAATGGGGGACTCAGTAGCATATGTAAATTTCATGACCAGTCCTAACACACACGCACATAACACGCATGCATGCAAACAACTATGCATGCATTCCCGAGTAAGAGCACCTTGTTCTTGCATGCTCTCAGAAGGCAAAGTGGTGCTTGTAATCTTCCCTTGGAGGGCACCCTCAGGACGTACTTGACTGTCCTCTGCATAGGACATTGTGACTTGGCTGGTTCCTGCAGCCCATAAGGAAGCAGGGCTAGTGGCATTAGAGTGTCACAGCATTTCCCCCTCCTGCTACTAAGAAGAACTACAGTGTACAGAAGAATACCAGAGTTCACATTTTTCATAAAAATAAACCACTTCTTTGGTGTTTTAGGGCCTGTCCAGTGGAGAGAGGTTTTTAGTTACAGGCCTCAGGCTCTGTGCAACTCATTCACTCACAACTCAACTCACTGCTATCTCATCTTTCCTTCACACAGACATGCCTCGAGCTGGAGAGGTACCTCCAGAGCGAGCCCTATGTCTCAGCCACGGATCTCAAATTTGAGGGCCAGGAGGACCTGTGGAGCAAACTCATGCTTGCCTGCGGGGACAAGTCAAACGAGCCAGACCCAAAGATTCCCCACATCAAGGAGGAGGAAGACAATCAGGAGAACCAGCACCTGGACACCGGTGGCTTCAGCTCTGACGCCAGCAGCGAGGCCTCAGACAGCTCTGAGGAGCTCTCCCCTACCCTCGACTTCCCCTCCAGCTCTTTGACTGACATTCTGGGAGATGGTGGTGAAGACCTGGGTTCCACCATCATCAGCACACCGCCATCCTCACCAGAGCTGGGCAAGGAGGGCTCTGTGGCCCAGGTGTGGAGTGGGATACAAACTGTGCTGCACTCACCTGGGAAAATAAGGACTGGGGGCATGGAGAGGCTGGCCAGCGGGGAGGCGTCGCCTGATGGGAGAAGGCGGGTGCACAAGTGTGAGTTCAATGGCTGCAGGAAGGTGTACACCAAGAGCTCACACCTGAAAGCACACCAGCGCACACATACAGGTAAAGTCAGATGTTATTGATCGCTGCCATGTAAATGTCTGTTCACCAGTGCAGACTAACTGTAGCAGGAGAGGAATACTACACCGGTTATGACTTCATGTCTTTAAAACACTTTTTAAAGTAAATTTTAATCAACTAATCAAAAGAGTGAAAACCTCTCAAAAGTGTGATTGAAATGTATGTAGGTGTTGATTTCTAGCTCATAGTGCTGAGAACACTCCCACATACTTTGAATAGTTTGCTGGGAGGAATGCCCTCGACTGTGACCTAATTCACACAGAGGAATGTGACTTCATGCAGAGGGAAGGGAGACGGAGAGAGAGAGAGAGAGAGAGAGACGGGAGGGGGAGGGATGTTTTTAGTGGCTGAGTGTCACCCAGAGGATGTGGATCCTGAAAGCAAATCAACAGTTCTCAGATTTCACCATGGGAAAAGACTCAGAACCTCACCCGCCTGTATTCGCGGTAAAAAAAAAAAATTATGGGAATCTGACATTTGCAGTGCTTTGTCAGGGGTTCAGATGTGAGCAGTTTCCCCCATCACCTTTGACCTCTGCCAGGCTGTTTGCAGCTGAGCAGCCCATTAGCGGAGAAAGTCACATTCCTAGCATTCTTCACTGATCATGGCCACATGGTTAATGGCCTTTGTGATGATTAGACAGAGTCCGTTTTTTAAAGCTCTCCCCCATTACATAAGCTGTCTATCCATGCAGCTCCTGAAGCCTGTTACCACAGCTTCTGAGACCCACAAGGCACAGGGTTATTTAGCTTTGGAATGTACAGTAGTCTGCCCGGTCTGCTTAGGATCATACTCTCTATTAAATCAGCACTGTAATACACATCAAACAGTAAGAAACCAAATATTGTCTGAGAAGTTGCATTGCCAGATATTTTGATAGCTCAAAATGACTTCAATTATGGTGCTTGTCAGCGTGCACAAAGAGATGAGATTCAGTAGATATGAAGGGTTTCTTCATGCATATAGACCGGCTGCCATGCTGAAGAGTGAATTCTTCTCAAAGCCAACAAAAACATTTGTTATAGGACAAAAAATGGCTGAACATTTACAGAAATATCTGAAAAACAATACAGTGATCCTCTGATTTAAGTTAATCTTGTGATTCTTGGTTATTTTTGCAGGTGAGAAGCCGTACAGGTGTTCATGGGAGGGCTGCCAGTGGCGCTTTGCACGAAGTGATGAACTCACCAGACACTTCAGGAAGCACACTGGAGCAAAGCCATTCAAATGCAGCCACTGCGAAAGGTGAGAGCTCTGGAAAGTTAGTACATGTTCTTGATGGCTGGCACTGTCTGCATGGCAAGTACAAGTGGAAATGCATTTTTGGATTATCAACATCACACGCAGCCAAGGAGCTCAGGAGTCCCATGTCACAAACCTTACACACAGTCTTTTTTTTATTATGCTCTGAACTATTTGATTATTTGCCTCCTTTAAAGACTGTCCAGAATCCTACCTTTCAAACAGTGAAGGTATTACCCTCTTCTTTTTACCTTTGGTGCTAATCACTTGTTCATTAACAAAGACCATGAGACCTAAGAGTGCAAATGATTTTATCAAGTGACACATTAGGTGGAGTTATGAATTAGGGTCAAGGATGGACTGATGGAATGGGGTTGAGGTTGAGGGCTGAACAGAAAGACAGTTTGCACAGAAGGATGAGCAAAGGGTCAAACGGCTGAAGTGTGGGGACCCGGGGCGCAGGGTGTGAGATGGCAACATCTCATTGAGCCGAACACAAATGTAAAAGTATATCTGCATATATAAAACTGTTGTATTTAAATATCTTCAGTCCAACAGCTGAATCCTTTCTCTTCTTCCTCTCTCAGGTGTTTCTCCCGTTCTGACCACCTGGCGCTGCACATGAAGAGGCACATCTAAGATGGCCTCAGTGGCGACAGTTGTGAGGGATGATTCTGGTTGATTGTCCTGACCTGTGGGGGATCAGCGAGGCCGGTGTATCCTGGGAGTGTTAACAGGAGCGCCGCCATGTTCCAGGCAGTGGAAAAACATGAAGTAACGCAGGCTATTATTTGCACCATACTTAGTGCCTCCAATACCTCGCTGTGGAGATTGCTCTTGAAAGGCCTTTACAGAGGAGCGGGAGGGCGGGGACAGACTTTAGAAAATGGGAAAAATCTGGACTGGAGAAGATGGGAAGAGACTCTTCTGTATGGTGTTCAATGCTTTTATTCCCCGGAGGACTATGACACTCCTGCGGGTTGCCGTCCCTCCAGTGACAGTGTGTTTGCCTGTGCGCATGGGGACTGTGAGTGCCTGTGACTGGATGCCTGTGCTGGCTTTGTGGAGTGGATGGAGCTTGCGTTATGGAACTGCGAGTGAATGACATGAAGGGGGTGATGTTATGTGAGGGAGGTTTTTTTTTTCGGGGGGCGGGGGGTATGTGTTGTCTCACTGAGAATGAATGCAAGCGAAACATGGTTCTGTCTGTGCTGTTTGAGTCTGTTGGCTGTAGCGAGGAACAGGGCGTTGTTTGGTAGAGCTGATCTGCTGGTGAGTGCCCCCTTTGTCACCGGAGGTGGAACTACAGCTCCCGATTAAAAAGTGGGAGGTCGTTTTGTTTAGTGCAGCTACTAAATGTGCAATGTATTATGTAGCCTGTCTCAAAACATACACGCTATAAGGCTCATTTTGTCGTCCATTGTGTAAGCTCTGTATCTTTAGAGGAAAAAAAAAAATGCGGTTGTACACAAACAATTATTGTCATTATAACAGAAGTTGCATGGGATCTGGGGATGTGTTGCTCACCTGTTTGCTTATAGGACAACAAAATTCCATTTGAGAGCAGCTACCTTCATATTACTCAGTATCATAGTATTGTACAAAAACACATAAGGCACTCATTTTATTAGTTTTTTTTAATTTTCTTGATAAGTTGGGGATACCACTGTTGCTTGGACACTGTCTTGATTATGGGATTTTTGTTCCTTTTTCTTCATTTTCACTCTTCGGTTTTGTTCTATCTGTAAATGCACTGTTGACCTTACTGATGCCTTATGTAAGTGGCCTTGTCCTGTTAAATAGATCACTCTCTCACATACACACACACACACACACACACAACAAATGGGGGTTGCGAATGCAGTACTGCATTACTGAATAGCTTTATATAGGCTCTGATCCATGCAGTCGCACCTTTACCCTTTTGTTTTATGACAAGTTTCCTTGAAACTCTTGAATATTAACAAAAATATCTATTTCAGCTTCATATTAACTGCCATTTTTACATTTCTGCATTCTTAGTTAAATATATTAAAACTCTATCAGAAGTTTTCACCAGAGTGACACAGATGTGCGACCGAATTGTGGAGTCCTTGGAAAAGCAATTCAGTTTTGTAATGGTTTACTACTATGTAGTATAATATGGTGTGGATGCATTTCAAATGGACTGAAACTTGCCGACTAAGGTACAGAGTCTTGGAAATACATTCTCGTGAATTGTGGCATGTTTGGCCACCAAGGTGGTGACAAATTAGGACAGTGGGGACATTTATGCCAGATGATGTGCCAAAAGCATACACAGTCTTAACAGAAAATGGATGTGCCCTTCAGAGAAATGATAACATTCTCAATCATGAGCTTGTTTTGATGGTGTATGTTTAAGTAAGTATCGCCCTCAGATCTTTACTCAGTCCTGGTTTACATAACTCATGATCTGATTAAATGGTACCTGAACCGGTCTGACCAGTTTGACTGAGCTGTGCTGCAGGTAGAGCGGTTTCTGTCTGTTTCTGCAGGCGAAAGGGGATGCAACTCAAGTATGAGACAAGGACCAGATGTCTGTCTGTACCAACTTCATTATATGCATGTTTTAACTTCAGTTACATGACTTCAGCACACTCCTCTGTGGGTTGATATGATTCTCTGACCTCTTGGATTTATTGCAATCCCTTCTGTTCGTTAATGATTGAACTCCATCATCATTTTCCCTAATTCTGGAGCCACATTGTCAATGTTTTTTCTAAATGTAGGCAGGAGAGTTGAAACAGAGCTTGTTTGCTATGAAGGGTATGGCTGGTTTAAGCGGTCATAAAACCTGATGTCTGTCACTCAGTAGTCAACATCACAGGTAGCCTTGTTACAATTCAACTTTACAGGTGAACCTGGGCAACAATAAAGAAAGTCAGTAGGGTGATTTTTTTTTTTTTTTTTTTTTTTTTTTTTTTTTTAACCTTAAAAAAAAAAAAAAATAAAGATTATGTACATTGTAAACTAAAAGAATTTTGTAAGGAAGCTTATATTTTGAAAGGGTATGGGACCAAAAACAAGTGCAGTGTTGTTTGAGGATGAACCAATAAAGACGAGGATTGGGGAATTACTGTAAAATAGACACACTCCATTCTCCTTCATTTGCTTCTGTAACATCTTTGTTTTGGTTTGATTGGAGAAAGCTAGCGCAAATGTACATTTTAAAAAGGCATCAATAGCACCTATAACTGTGGCCTATCATTGAGAAAGGAAAAACAAAAAAATAAAGACCAAAAAAATCCCCCCAACTTTTCAGACGTGAATTGTTATGGACACTTGAATTGTCATGCATTTTGGTGCCCGCTAAGTATTGTTTCTTTTTTTTGTTTGTTTTGTTTTGTTTGTTTTTTTTGCCATGTGATTTTTTTGTTTATGTTCCAACTCTACAAAGACCTGCAAAGGCACCCTATCTTTAGCTATTGAATCTTTATTGGATAAACATGGAGATAAAATGAGGCTCTATTTTTGTTTGTTTTATGGCATAACAAGATTTTTTCATTTGAAATTGTTTTGTAAAATAGTTTCTGTATGAATGTATTTTTTATTGGAAAATCGATAAAAAGAATTTATTGGATCTACATGTGGTTTTTGTTTTTATTTCTCCTGTAGTCCTCTTATGAAATGGTCAACCAGGAAGAGGTTGTTTATGGGATAGTCAGTATTTCCAAAGGAGCAATCATCCTTGTCACCCCCTTTTCCCATAGAGGTCAAAGGTCAGGGTCTGCTATAGAACTGCACTGCACCAGCAGTTTAAACCTGTCACCTCTAGTCGTTTGTATTACATTTCATCATAGGGATGTCATCATGTTTCCAGGGCTTTGTTGAGTACAGTGCCATCATGACTGATAGAAATTATGTCAAAGCTGTGAAAATAAAGCCCAAAGTTCTGATAAACTGGAATTATCCTTTAAATACAAAACCCCTTATGGAAGAAGGTGGGATACATGTGCAAATTAATATGTAAAAATACAGCAAAAATGAGAATATTCCATTTATTCTTGGACACATTCATGGTTAGGTTGTTTATATGGAGAGCTTAGCTGAATTTCAACATGAAAACAATGTGAACCGTGCCCCCTGCTCCAGCCAAGAATGCAGTTTTCATCTTAGCCTCCAAGAAATGTATGCAAATTAAGTTGTGCCGCAAACAAATCCCAGATAAGGGTTCTGCACACTTCACATACAAATAGCCTCTTCATCTCCGATTGCAAGCACAAAGTGATTTAGCTTTAACACTGCTCCACCGAGCCAGCCACGCTTCGTGCCCCAAAGCCCCTAAATAATTGAACCACTCAATTTTTTTTCAAAGATATATTTATTAGTATTTTCACTCAAGTTACCAGAACTAAAAAAAGAACTGTGCAAAAATAGTAAAACAAAGAAAGAGAGGAAATAATACTGTGTAAAAGGAAACATAACATTAAATAAAGAACCCTCTTATGTTTTCAACCTGATATTCCTGATAGGGACAGGATGCCAACATTTGTATTATGTCTCTCAAAGGATCACATGCCCTGAAATAAGATGGTAGATACTGTAAGTATTTGGGTAATTGGGCATGATCTTGGTTTGCACTATCAATTGTTGTGTGGTATGTTAATTGAAGGCTAGAGTTAAAAACTGTGACTTGATTTTGGTAAACCATACCATCAGCACAACACAACTGACTTCATAACGCACGGTTCAAACATTAAACTTCGCTCACTTGCAATCCAATCAAATACACAGACGTCCCGCCCTCCTCTAACACCAAATGATTATTTGCCAGCCACCTGTCAATCAAATGAGTTTGGCTGCTGTCATGTTTGTTCAGGTCATATACGCCCTCCAGTGATGTTCTGATCTCTTTTGGATAACCTTGCGTTAAATGAACGGGTTTAAAGTAAACATTCACAAGTAATCGGCCATTCTTTAAGTTATGCTGTGGCTTTCAATAGGAGGACGCTTTGTGTAGAGAATGTGAAGGTACGTCAGGCCGTGTTGAATGATGGGACGGGAGCGCCATTTTGGGAGATACGTACTGTATTTACCTGCATAAAGTTACATTTTTAACCTTAGCTGACTGTAGCTAACTCGCAGCGGACCCGGAGATCCCATGGACGAGTGCGACAGATTGATAAATAACTGCGCCCTGATCTCAGTTCTCAGCTCGGGAGCTAACGGTAGCTAGCAAGCTGTCGGCAGGTGACACAAACACTGCAGATGAATCCAGAACAATGAAGTGGACGTTTAAACGTAGTTGGAACATCCGCTACAGTATGTATTACTACAGGATGGTAATTAGTTTTTAAATTAACTTATGGATGTATGTAATGTATATCTTTATGATGGGTAATGGGCGTGATCTTCCAAAAATGGCGCATTTACCCAAAATTCAACACAGCCTGACAACAATTTCACATTCTCTCTCTTATTTATTTATTTATTTATTTTTACAGTTTCTAAGCATCTTTGTGGCCGTGTATTTCCAGTGGACATTTGACATAATGACATTTCTGAAAGTGTAAGTAACACTGAATCAGAAATGTGCATCATTTCTGTGTGTTCTGATTTGAATGGGTTCAGATAGTGTGTAAACATTCTGCTTTCTGTGCAGGCTGTCTGATGAGTGGAGCACCTTGTGGTCCTTGCCTCTCCTTCCTGGTTGGTCTTTTGATGATGGGCTCTTTGGGTCTCTGGACTTGTAGCATGTGTACAGTAAGTTGTGCTGCTGCCATCATCAGCCCTTTGACTAAAACATCCACTTTTATTTAGTGTCACTTTTTGAACGTGAAACCAATTTGCTCATTTTGCACCTGTAGTTTATTTATTTGTCAATGTATGTGCGGTTTTTCTGTGAATGGCACTACTAGTTAAATATGCATGACCATGACCGTGATGCGTCAAATTGGCCTTATTTTCTTCCTCCAGAGCTATTAGGCTTCCCACTGGGTGTACAATTAGAGACGTGGTACTTTGGTTTGGTCAATTTAGTGCGGAGAGTGGATCCCTACAGAGAACTTTGAGTAGAGATGTTTACTGGGAAGGCTACATGACAAGTGTAAGTGAGGGAATACACCCCAACACACTTACTTATGTTTCTATACTTGTTAAAGTTTAATAAGAAGCTGTTGTATTGGGCAGCTTTGTCAGGATACACCTTTTAAATAGTCAATAGATACATTGTATTTTTATCAGATTAATAACTGTAGTCACGTAGGGCAGTACATTGCACAAATTGGAAAAGCCTTGCAGGTGTCAGAGTTAAATTTGTCGTCATTTCTGTCCATAAATTATATATTTGACCCCCCAAGTGTATTCACTAGAGATTTAAATTGTTAATGTATAACAGTGTTTATTGAAATAGTCAGTAGAGAAAGACTTGGATCAATAGACATGTAGCATTTTCATCAAATGTAAGTCCATGATGATCGGTGGTAGGATCGGTGGTGGGACAGGTTCCCCTGGCCAGCAGGTAGATGATGGAATAACTTGGCTGAATGACCCAGAAAAATCTGAATATCTTGGTAGCTGTGAAGAGGAGGTGGGATGTGCAATAATAGGCTTGAATGACATAATTGCAGAGTTATTTATAAAGCAAGATCCAGTAGCTGCTTGTTTCATGTAGCACGGACAGAAAGAGAATTTGCTGGATAAGATGATGTAACAATTTGAGCATGAGAATCTCTGACAACACAGGATAACAAAAGTGATTGAGGAGGTCAGAGAAAACAGCAGAAATTCACCAATAGGGAAACAACAAATCAGAACATACCGGATAGTTTTTTTTCCATAGAATATATTTAAGGGATGAGAACAGCAAAAACCTGAAATTCACTCACATGCTTCTGTCCAATAAACTTATTAAAACCTCTGAGATTGCCCATGACCAAGAACCTGGCTGCACTACATTACAAAGTTGTATATGCACCAGGCAGTAAAAGACTATTCAAACATTACTCAAGCATAAAAAATTGCTGTATTATACTGGGGCGCTTCTTCCAGGGCCACAGGCAGGATTTTTAATGCTGGTGATGTCAGGAGTGGAGCTTCTCCCAGTGCAACCCTAAAGAAATCCACTGGAATGATCACCAAAAATGTGTAAAATTATCTGGTTATTTATATTCTTTTTAAATATTAAGTGATGGTCCCCAGGCATTCTGCACACTGTTCTGTAGGAAAGGCACTCTGATGGAGAAATACTAAACCTTTTTATTTTAAGTCACTCTTCTTGTTTTCATCTATAAACAATCAAAATTAAAGATATTACATCTCAAATCTGAATTAGCCACAGATTCTTCTTGGTGCGTATTTGTAGATTGTAACTCCTCCCTAAGTCATTTAAAATCCTGCCTTCTCAAAAGCAACTCAGGATATGCCCTTGGTGTGGAACAGCCCTGACTAGTTACAGGAGAACATTGATTTCTTTCATTTGTAGGTGCAAATTCCCAAACATTTCCCCTCGATACCTTCTGGGGTTTCTATGGACAAGCAGTGCCTACAAGGTTCTCATCTAGCAGATTTTTTTTTCTCCAGTATCAAATGAAAGCACCTGAATTATATGTAGGTACAGTTCTAATGGATCAGGTGCAGCAGGTTATAAACCCCCAACCTTGACAGGGTTGCTGCTTTGTTCTTCCTGTTTTCCTCTTCCTTTCTTGTTGAAGGAGACTGTCTTCCCTGATAATACGACCCTACAGGTCATCTACACAATCAGCTTGTTATGCCCCATAATTACGTTTCATTGTTAGGCAAACTCTAGTGGCTGTAGTAGTTCTGACAGGAGCCGAGAATGACCAGATAGGGAGCATGTTGTGTTGACACAGATGACCGCTGTTTGTTTCCCATTTAAACCTGATTGTCATTGCTTCTCTTGTTTTTGTTTTTGTGCCTAAACCAATCCGAGACAATGAAAGTCCTATACGCTGTGTATACACCACATGTTATTGTAACCATAACAACAAAGGTCTGGTATGCCTGCTGTCTTAGGGGCACTACAGTATTTCATGGTTGTTTAGGTTGGAGGACTTGTTGGGTTGAAGCTTAGAGTATTCCGAGCTATCAGTTAGATAAGTGAGAACATTCAAGGTTGACTAGGAGAACAGGATCTTCCCCAGAGCAAGGTTTCATCACATGCACATATGCATACATAGACACACACACACCTCCCCCTCCTCAGAGCTCATATATCCTGTGGTCCCAAAGGGGGTTACTTGATAAACCAGAAGGCCAGTCGAGTTCAGCGACCCAACATGGGGTAGTTCGTCAACATCTTGTCGCTTTGAAACCTTCCGGCTGGTTTTGCTCATATCTGTATCATATACTGGAAATGTTACTGGTCTCCATTGGTCTCCATTCACATATGAGTTTTCATCTGATGCTCTGTCCAGAGTCATTTACATTAATGGCCTAAAACAATATAAGTAACCATGAATTTTCCATAAATCCATTCTATTAATGTACTTTACACCTTATCTGGTAGGTTTTACCCAGACAAAGTAAAATTGATTGAAGTGTTTGTCAGAGCATATGCATGCACACCACAGAAAGGAAAAGACCCAGGACTCACAAGGCCAGCAACTAAGTATGGCAAAAAAGTTTGGAAAAGAGAAAGATAAGTTCTCCAAAAATACATCAAGACATGAGGACATGTTTTTATTACCACCTCTTTTCCCTAATATTGTTTGGGGAAACATTTTTTTTAGGTAAAGCACAGAAAACCCGCAAGTAAACCCGTTTTGTTTTATGGACTCCTAAATTAAAGAGATGACATTGGCAAAAGGGCTGTGCTGTTCTGTGCTGCTCATTTAGTGACAACATCCATCCTATAGAAGTGTCCTTAAGCAACAGCTCTCCCAGCTGCAAGTGATGTGTAGGAGGAGGCCAGGCTCTATATGATTCAGCCCCATGACAGCTCCCAGTATGAAACTATTCTTAACTTAATGTATATTAGAAAAATAACTCCTACATTCCAGTTTCACAGAGTGATGCAGCTTTAACTTTTTCAGCGTTAATGTTTTTGTTCTACTTACACAGACTTGAAACCTTTGTGTAGACATCTGTAAAGCACTAATCATATGTGCTTGTGTGTCATTTTTATGACTCATACCAGTGTTTTCTGATCTGTCATCTCCATGATTAGCTGCATGGTTGGTTGGTGACGGCTGGGTGTGACCTGCTCTGTATTTTCTGTGGAAGAATTTACTGCATATGGTCTATGTTTATAGAAAATATTTTATGTGTTTTATCTAGCATTTTTATGGCTCTCAGGTTAGAATGGATTATTTATGCTTCTGAAGGCAGAAATGAACAAAGGTTGTTAATGTTTCACTTGGTCCTCAGGTAAATTACAGACGATGTTACAGTTGGACACCAACTGCAGGAATCAGTTGGTGTCCACCTGGAGTCAGGACACAATCTGTAGTGTTTGGTGTCAAAGTCTGATGCTTTCTAGACACAACAAAGCCCACATAGAGATTTTTAAAAAGATATTATTTTGGTTGGATGAAATCCTTCTGTGACTGCACTGGGGGCTTCATTCTTCTGCATATGTTATAGCTTTTCCAGCCCCGCTGTACGCAGACAATGATGAAGAGGTCTGGAGGTCTGAGGGGGCTGGGGCTCTGGACAGACTCTGGGTACAGCACCTGATGGATGGCCATTCCTCAGCCTTCCTCCCCCTCTGACCGCTCACTCATCCCTCCCTGTCCCCCTACTATCCCCTCCCCTGGGTGATGAACAAGCTCATTACCAAGGCACGGTAATAAAAGTAGGCCATTATCTTTTCAGAGTGCACTTTGAACTCTGACAAAAGAACCCGATCCTCTTCATCTCTGGCTTCTGGTTATGTAATGCCATAATGGAACAGTGAAATAGGTGGATCACTGCCAGTAATTTTACTGAAAAGCTGGACTCTTCTCCTACAAGCTTCCACAGACGCATACACAGAATTCTAGCTCGTCAATGAACCACACCTATTTTCCGTTTCTCTCCTGGATGAACACCAGATCACCGGTCATCATCAGTCATCAGGTCAGCCAGCAAGTTCACGCAGATGTACATTCCTATGCAGTTAGCTGTAAGGGCTACCCCACATGTTTATATCTTGTAGCTGCTTTCCTTCTGACTCAGAGATAAATATGTCATAACTGACATATATTATAGTTTTTGTCACCAAGTGTCAGTTCACTATCAAGAGCACTGTCTGGTGCTGCATTATCTGTGACTGATGTTCAGTAGTGTCATTTAAGGAGAATATTAAAGGGGGTTATTCCAGTGATTTAGTATTGCACTTCCAAAAAGCTGTGGGACTCATAAGAGGCACATTAAAATTGAAGCAGCAAAGGTCAGAATACCCTGAATTTTAGCTCCAGGAACATGAGATCCTGCAATTTTGTGATCTGTTAAAAATGTGAAGTCTCAAACCTAAGTAGGGGAATGCACACATATTATACATCTGTTTCTACAGACTGACTAGTACTCTCTGTGGTGAGTAAATGGAAAATCAGTGCAATGCCTGTTTTACAATCATTATCACCTGTAAATCAACAGTTGAATTTGTGGATTGTTTTTTTTTTCTTTTTCTTCAAACATACCAAGGAGGGCGCATTATTCAGCCCTCACTAGTGTCTGCACAACTTCCTGGCAGCCTGCATATGGATGCAGAAAGCTCCACATATGATTAAGGCAGGTGGTATCCACCCTGAGAGGCAAAGCCA